TTATTTGTGGGGGCTTCTTATTCATTAATTAAATTTTGAAATACTTTTCCAAATTTTTGGGAGGAGGATATCATTATATCATATTTTTTGTGGAAGTTCATGTGGATTAAAAAAAATTTTATGTGTAAAATTTTTCATATATTTTATTTCTAGGTTTTTAAAATTTAAGTCATACTTGGAAATACCTTCCACAATCTTTGACTATAAAAGTACTATCTCATATTTTCTTTCAAACTTCAATAAAACTTATTTTTGAAGACACATGTAGATAATGTATTTTTAAGTGCTTAGATGACTTAATAAAGCTTTAACTAAGAATTCTCATTAAAATACATCCTTTTCATTTTTTTTAATTCTTTTTTCATCATTGATGTTGTGATAATACATGGTACATGTAAAATATGCTTTTGATAGCTTTGGTACTATTAAGGTGGCTATGTAGAAAAGGATCACTAAGCACTTTTGATAAGAAAAGATTTCTTAGGTTACAGACTTCCAGAGAAATGAAATCTCACTAAGATAAAAAAAAAAAAAAAAAAAACACTCTCTTCTTAAATCCTTGTGCTGTAGGCTGAAAGTAAAATTAATTGCTATAATTTGTCTCAGAAGCATTTGGGAAAAAAATCACATGGGCTGGGTGATGTGAGCTGTGATGACAGTGAGAACTAAAAGATCTACATTCTTTCTGCTTATTTTTGGGCAGAAGGTTCTATGGGCCCCTGTCTATGTGTACCTTCCAGGTGAGAGGAGAATCTGACAACTGCATGCATGTGACAGAGGCAAACTCCCTACTAGATGCTTCACAGAAAGGCACTGTGTCACTGGATTGATATCCTTGACATAATCTAAGATGGAGGAATGAAAGTGACCATATTTTCTTCTCAAATACTAACACATCATGCTAAAATTTGAAGAGGAACCTAGATTTGCAGAATGTAGTTGTCCCTGATGTAGAATTTGATAGGGCACAGCTCTGGAGAAATAGGGCTTACTCTGACAATGGGTCCCTGGAACTCAGGGACCTGAGTTCAGTCATTCTTCTACCAGTGTTAGCAAGACTCAAACGTGTACATATGACCTCACAGCAGATATCCTGTTATATAAATAACACAGGTTCTGATTAATAGACAAGATTGTTATAACATACACCTTAGATTCTCTGTCATCAAAAAGTCTACAGACAAGAAATACTGGCAAGGATATGAAGAAAAGAGAACCCTCCTGTGCTGCCGTGGAAACATGAACTGATGTAGCCACCATGGAAAACAGTATGGAGGTTCCTTAAAAAGCTAAAAATAGAGCTACCATGTGATCCATCAGTTCCACTCCTAGGAATCAGCTCAGTTCAGTCGCTCAGTCGTGTCCGACTCTTTGTGACCACATGGACCGCAGCACGCCAGGCCTCCCTGTCCATCACCAACTCCCGGAGTTTACTCAAAGTCATGTCCATCAAGTCGGTGATGCCATCCAACCATCTCATCCTCTGTCGTCCCCTTCTCCTCCTGCCCTCAATCTTTCCCAGCATCGGGGTCTTTTCAAATGAGTTAGCTCTTCACATCAGGTGGCCAAAGTATTGGAGTTTCAGCTTCAGCATCAGTCCTTCCAATGAACACCCAGGACTGATTTCCTTCAGGATGGACTGGTTGGATCTCCTTGCAGTCCAAGGGACTCTCAAGAGTCTTCTCCAACACCACAGTTCAAAAGCATCAATTCTTCAGTGCTCAGGTTTCTTTATGGTCCAACTCTGACATCCATGCATGACCACTGGAAAAACCTAAGCCTTGACTAGATGGACCTTTGTTGGGAAACTAATGTCTCTGCTTTTTATATGCTGTCTAGGTTGGTCATAAGTTTTCTTCCAAGGAGCAAGCATCATCTAATTTCATGACTTCAGTCAGCATCTGCAGTGATTTTGGAGCCCCCCAAAAATAAAATCTGTCACTGTTTCCATTGTTTCCCATCTACTTGCCATGAAGTGATGGGACCAGATGCCATGATCTTAGTTTCCTAGGAATATATCTGGTGAAAACCATGCTTCAGAAAGATACATTCATCCCAATGTTCAATGCAGCACTATTCACAATAGCCAAGGCATGAAAGCAACCTAAATGTTCATTTTGTGATACATATATACAATGAATATTACTCAGCCATAAAAAATATTGAAATAATACTATTTATAGCAACATGAATGAACCCAGGGATTATCATACTAACTGAGGTATGTTAGAAAGACAAAGACAAATGCCTTATGATATCACTTACATGTGGAATCTAAACTATGATGCAACAGAATTTATTTACAAATCAGAAACAGATTCACAGACCTAGAAAACAAACTTATGGTTACCAGTAGGGAAAGGAGGAAAAGGGATAAATTGGGAATTTGGGATTACAACACTAAATATAAAACAAATAAATAACAAAGACCTACTGTATAGCACTTGGAATTATGGTCAATATCCTATAACAAACCATAATGGAAAAGGATATGAAAATGAATATATTATAACTGAGTCATATTGCTATACACTAGCAAGTAACACAAAGTTGTAAATCACCTATTACTTCAATTTGAAACATAGACCTTAGATTCAGATATCCTATTTAGCAGTAATGATGCTCATATTTCTTCTGGGCAACTGAAGTTAAGAGTTTTCACTTTCCGGGTTTTTTCCAACTACTTACTGGTGAAGCGGTGATTATGACATAGGCTCCTTTCTCTCCACCCAGCCTTGATGGGGAGTCTTCAAGGCTGGACAGCTCCAGTTGCTTGAGAGACTCCCCAACACCTAACTCTCCCGAGCCAGGGCAGCCAGTGTGATGTCATCGCTATGGCCAGTCTGTCTTCTTTTATATTCTTATGAGCAAACTGGCTGCATCCTCTGGAAGGGGTTTGGCTTATCTAAACAGAGGTTGCCTCACAGCAATATTTCAAGGTGTTTTTTTCCCCTAGGAAATACTTTTCACAGGTACCAAATTCAAGAATTTCTGGAAGAAATCTGTTTCAACTTAATAAATTAAGCAACATCATTGGATTTCTCTTATAAATGCTGACACTCACTTTAATGCTACTATGCTGTGATTCCATACAGATCCTCTACACTGGAGACCATGGATAAGTAGAGATTAACCTGAAAATAAATGCTAAATCAGGCAACTGGGTGAATTTTAGAATCACCTCTCAGGCCATTAGAAGTCAAGTATTTGGGGAATTACTGAAACTTGATTTTGTGCTTTTGTATTGTCTTCAAGTTCCAAAAAGACCTCTTTACGATGATTTCAACATTATGTGTATTTTTTGTGTTTCCAATCACTTAAATGATGTTGTCAAAGGAGAGTAATTGATAGTCATAGATTTCTAGTTGTCAGCAACTTAAGAAACAAAAACAAAGACTACCTACCTGATATATTGCATCCTGAGTCAAACAGTGACAAATTCTCTTTTGAAATTAATGAATAGCATAGCTTGTCAACAGTATACTAAACAAAGGTTAAGGTCAAAAGAGGAGATCTTTCTTATAGTTCATAACAGTGATGGGAAAAAAAAAAGTCAGCTCCTAAGTTTTCAGTCATTTAACTCCACCTCCACTGTTCTCATATACATGCACTGTTGATTGACACTGTCTCCTAGCAGGCTTTCCAGCCATCTGTCCAGCAACCATCCACTACAGACAGATCTCGGCTTGGAGTAACTTCAGAGCTACCTTCAGAGTAACGGCTCTAACATAGTTGTTCTCAGACATTAGGGTGCATCAGAGTCTCCTAGAGGAGAGATATTTAAAAAATGAATGATTGAGTCCCTCTTTCCTGAGTTTCTGATTCTCTGGTTTGGATGAGACTTGGGTATTTCCATTTCTAACAAATTTCTAGGGGATACTAATTGGACTGGCCCCTGATACAAACAATCAGAATGACTCCTCTAAAACACAAGTCCGGCCATGTCCCTTCTCTGCAAAAAGTCATCCTCTTCCTTTCCCCCCATGACGTAGGTCTTGTGACTCATCATCAGGTGGGTCTTCCCCAATTCTTATGTTTTAGCTCTCACTAACCTCCTGTCTCAAGTGATGTGTTGATAAATGTTCAAAATCTGGCTGTTCAGGGTGTAACACACACACACACACACACACACACACACACACATCTCTGTACATGCATGTGTGTGTGGGCGCATGAATGCATTCAGATATTACGTTATTTTACTGATATAAGTGATGGGCAGAATTTACAAATAATAATAAAATATATAATAAATCATATTATAAATTCTATAAACCAACTGATTTTTATAGACTGCTTTTGTTGATTTTTCACTGAACTCTTTTATCCATAATCACATACAGTCTCTGTCACATATGCTTATTTTTCCCTTAATTTTTTAAACAACACTTGACAGGCTGAAGGCAACAGGCTTCAAGCCAAATTTTCCCTGGAAGATGTAGTTTTTCCAATCTCTGGTCTTGAGAATCAACAAAGAAATACATCAACCCCTGATTTATCAGACTTGCCAAAACCTATGGTATAAATATTCCCACCATGATGAACTTCAAACTATCAAAGAGATGTCACTCAACTTGGAGTTGGGAAGCGAGGCACTGTAGCAATCAAATAGACTGTATCTCTACCACACAGATACAACAGAAGTAAATAACCTCAAATACATATAGATAGATGGAGAGAGATATATTAATTAGGAATAAATGAATTTAGTGCCTTTTAAAAATACTTTGATGGAGTATAAGTTTATATAACTGAATTTTTCATAATGACTGCATGATGCCTTTTAAGTTTCTGAGTCACCACCACATTTGCCAAGGCATTTTCTCTAGGCTCACAGCTCAGACTCTGTCCGTGGGCTCCTTCATGGTCAGCTACCTGGACTTAGATGGAGGTGAGAAGATGCTCAAGGTCCCACATCTTCTCACCTGCTCATTCGCTTCCTGATTTTCTCACTGATCCTGAGCAAAGAGCTCAAGGGTCTGCAGGGACAGAAAGCTCACCTCGTAGTCAATGTCCAAGGCATCCGCCTCGCCCCTGGTGCGGAAGTGCTGTGTGTGCCTGTCCACGGTGAAGTTCACGAGCTTGCCAGCTCGCTCCAGGAGGACGGAGTGCCAATGCTGGTCATCCAGGAGGCTCCCCAGGGTGGCCGAGGGCGCGCTGCTGCTGGGACGAGGCTTGCTGTCATCTGTGAACAGAAAGAGAGGATGGCGTCTGTACCCCAGGGCAGCCTGCAGTGCTGTAAATAGAATATTCTGCAAGCGAGGCCAACTCTCTAGATCCAAAGTAAAGGTTGATTCTCTCTCTACAGACCCAGAACTGTCCTGGGCTTGGGATGGAATACCAACTTTCCCCCACAGATCCCAGGACCAAGTTCTCCATCAACTGACATCTACACTCCCTTTTAGACATGAATGAACATGTTTCTAGGTCTGGTGCAATTACATAACAAGAGAAATCAGATCTGGAGAGCTGTATGAATAATATTGAAAATAGAACTCATCACATTTAGAAAGAATGCATATTCTTTGCACTTGACTGGCTCTTGAAAGGAGAAAGTGAATCTTGGGTTGTACTTTAGCAGAAGAGTGAATGCTGGATAAGTAGAGGGAAGACAGTGGGCCACTGAGTTAGGTAAATATGTAGGAAAGGCAATGGAGAGGAAATGATCATTTTAGCTGCAATTTTCTAATACCTACTCTATCGAGGGCATTTAAGTACAGACTGTATGATCTCCAAGTTTGATGCTCTAAGGCAAAATGATTACATGCATTTAGCAAATTATGAAGCTGAGGTCTGGTGAGGTTAAGCATTCCTAGGCAGAGATGTAGCCAGGGTTCAAATTCAGATCCAGTCAGATTTTTGACTCTGATCATGGCATGGGTCATGTGTTGATTCAGCCTGAGCTGAGTTTGGAACACACCTCTTGGGAGGACGTGAGAGGTACATTTTTCAACCAAGCACCTCTGGTTCCCCTTCTCTTCATCTTGCCTCCAGTTTTATGGTGTTCCTGCCTGTATCCTTCTGTCAAAAATATTAGAGCTTTACTTTTTTTCTTTCCTACAGAATGGCTCAGACTTAGCAAAATGAACAGTTCAATGCAGCTAATTTTACTTATATGTAAACCTTCCAATTTTTCAGTGTTTTATGTATTCAGTACCCTTAGTAACTGAGAGCTAAATGTCTCTTGTCTCTCCTAAAATGTGTTTTATAGAACAGCTGCAGCAGTCTGCTCCACAGCGTGGCATTCAGGGGGCAGAAGCTGCCGTTCCCCTGTGGGTTGCTCACACCCACCTCCATTATGGTCCCGAGGCACTGCTTCCTGTGCTAAATAACACTGCTGCTTCCTAAGGGGGTTGTGGGGACGGTATCCAACCGATTGCAATTCAAAAAGAAGTGCTGATGAGTTCATAGCTGACTTTAATTGATTTGCTCAATGACACATTGATTTGTTCCACATCTTTTGAGTCCTTACAATGTGTGAAATTATACAGATACATTATTAGATCTTTTACTTTTTCCTCCTCCTCCCTCCATCCCTTCCTTCCTTCCTCCCTCTCTTCCTTTCCTTCTCCCATCCATCCACCCATAAAATGGTATTGATTTGTCACAGGAGACAAAGAGTTAAAGGCCACACTTCCCTCTCTGAAGGTTTTAATGTGGGGACGCAATAAGGGAGTGGATAAGAAGGGTGCTGCTTGTATTAACAGCAGTTAAGGCAAGGGACCAAGAAAACGCAGGGTAGGAAGCCGTGGATGTCGCATTATAGAGAGTGGCCAGGCCTGAAATTCGGCCAGAACAAGGAGCATTGTTGCCTAACCAGGAAAAGCAGCTGCCAAGGCCAGGGGTTCAGAAGAACCCCATGGAGGGATTCCAAGCAGCAGGGTGCCGTGACCATGTGGGCTGGCCCGTACCACCAGGACCAGTTGCCAGTGTGAGACGATTCACAGCTTGTGTTTGACCTTTTAGAAATGGGAGCCACTGGCGAGTTAATAAGTCAGGGATTACTGGCTCAAACTAACATTTTAGGAAGGTTGTTTTGGCAGCGGTATGGGGATTTGCTTAGCAGGCAAGGCTGGCAGGAAGACTGGCAGTCATGTGGATGGAGGATGAGGGGCATAGGTGAAGAGAGCCCAGGAAGTGGGGATTTCCAGGCGGTGAGAGGCGGCCGGCACGTGGGGGCCTAGAACGGCATTTGGATACTGGAGTGGACATAACAAAAGAGACTCACTGAGAAATGACTTCTAGGAGGTTTGCTCCAGCAAGCGGACGAGAAGCACTACCAGTCAAAACAGAACGAAAAATACTTGTGTTCGCCTCTCTCCCCTTCCCTCTCCTACACACACACACACACACACACACACACACACGAGTCAGCTTTTATTTATAAAATAAAACATGCTCAAGGACTAATGACTGCTTGAAGGAGACTTACCGTGTCTTATAAACTATTAGTTCTAAGTTAATATACTCAAATAAATTTAATACTAGAGCCTTCACTTTAAATTTGATATGCCCTTCCCTTTTCCTTCAAAGGTTAAAAAGACATTTAAGAATTTACTAATATGTCAAAAACATTAAACATTTGAAACTGTAAAACCAATGAAAATCACAAAAAGAAAAAGTAAAGGAATCCTATCTTTTCCTCCTACTTATTTGTTATTATGTGTTGTTTGGGTGGGTTCTAGTGATATTTTGACTTTTTGATAAAAAAAAACAAGGATTAAAATTAAATACTTTGATATTTTCTATACTATTATTTCTGCTTCAAAAGATGAATTTGATTATGAAGAGGCCAAACTGACTGCAATTTTAGTTTTTATTCTTTTTCTTTTCTTTATATATTTTAGAGCATAAATATTTTTTATATTAAGGAACAATACTAAACTTCATTAAAAGCATAATCCTCGACCTGCATGGCTAACTGTATGACTGATGTGTGAATTATTGAATATCTCCTGCATTACAAGTATATTTTTAATTTAAAAAATGGCAGACATGAACATATTTTACCCTCTCCATGAATCATTTTATGTTAACACACAGAAATCTCTGTTTTGTTTTTAATCACTGTCATACCCAGCTATTTTGCAGCCCCATGGGCTGGAGGTGCACAGGGTGCCTCTGTCCATAGGGTTTCCCAGGCAAGGATATGTGCGTTGAAACAGACTGAGTGGAAATCAGTCCACTTTAACAGTTGGATGAACAGGAAATCCTGCTATTCATCAAGTAGGGTGTTTCAAAATATATCTATATGAGGTGTTACTATGAAGAAAAAAGGTTAGTCCTAGAAAAGTTTCCATTTTACCTAAAAATGTTCATTATTAGAAATTAAGAAAAAATTTTCATTATCAAAAGATTATCAAACTCTTCATTCTGTAATATATACTTCAAGTCATATCTCAGTGGCAATTATGGTTCAACTACAAGTTTTAACTAGTTTCCAATTTATTAAGGCAAGATAAAAACACCTATGGGTAATTGTGGGGTACACGAAGATGATAAAAATCCACAGATGGTGTCCTTTAGGCCAGAAACACATTGGAGGAAAAAAAAAAGATTTACTTATTAAAACTTGCTTTCATGTAGTTTGACATAGTTAAAATGAAACTATATAAATATTACCCAAAACCCTAAAGCATATGAAAAATTTTACAGGAAGTTTGAAATATCTGCAAAATATTTCTAATTTGCTCTTCTCCTCCTCCCCTTCCCCATCCTAACATACTAGAGATAAGCATATCAAATTCTTCACCCTTGGAACTAGCCTTTTTCTGGATCCTTAGCATGCATATTGTGTTTTCACTTCAAAATCTCCTTGGATTAAATCACCTTGCTTGGTCTTAACAGTTTAAATATGGATGGCACTTTATCTTTCACAATCTGCAGACTTCATATAACTTGAGCAAATGGGAACATAAACTTTCTCTTTTAAGACTGTGTTTCAATAAAAAGTCACTCTTGGAAAGATTTTGTTGTTGATGAGATAGAGGGCCATTCGCATGGAGCTCCCCAATGCCTGCATCCACCTGATCTTTAGGATTAACTTTCTCACATTTAGTTGTTCAGACCATCAATGTTGGTATTTGCTTGTATTTTTAAGTTCCTTTTCTGTTAAAGAGAGGTAAGCATTTTACATAGGTTGTTCTTGTTATTCCTGAACACAGCCTTACAAAAAGCTTCACCTCAATGAAGCCTCAGGATATACCCAAGGTCACAAAGAATTAAGGTTACATACTGAGCTATGACTCCAAAGCTAAATGCTCTTACTACTTACTCCTATTGGAAAAATTGATACCTCATTCCTTATGTTCCGGCCATCTGCTTCCCACCATACACACGCATGAGTTTGTATAGCTTAGTAATAATACCAGGAAAGGGATTTGATGGATTGGGAAGCAGAGAGTTGTGGAAAAGGAAAATGCAGCAACCCAAAGAGGGAAGGACATGATGCAGACAGGGAAGGCAAATTTCACCTCTCTAGTTTATCCAGGATTATACAGACCCCTATTTAGCAAAATTCAGGGCTGATGAATGTTCTCAAGTACTCAAATGAAGTCTTCTGAAGAAAATAAAAACTAACAGGAAGCCATGTGATTACAGTGAACTGGACCCTCAAATCAGAGCAAATCCTTATGTATCACTAAAGAAATGTAATTCATGTCCTTAGTTCTTAAAAAAAAATTTTCTAAATTTTATTCAATAAAACATTCTCTAGATTTAGGGGTCATTGCTCAATCTGACTCCTAAGTTACATCTATCTTTTGTGACTTCGTTATCTTAAAAAATATGGTTTCGATGATAAATCAGTTCAGTTCAGTCACTCAGTTATGTCCGACTCTTTGTGATCCCATGAATCGCAGCATGCCAGGCCACCCTGTCCATCACCAACTCCCGGAGTTCACCCAAACCCATGTGCATTGAGTCGGTGATGCCATCAACCATCTCATCCTTTGTCATCTCCTTTTCCTCCTGCCCCCAATCCCTCCCAGCATCAGGGTCTTTTCCAATGAGTCGATGATACATAGCTATCTATTTTTGGTTAATACTACAAAGTTAGAAAGTCAATCACAATAATTGTTTTACCGGGCTGGGACCTCCTTGAAAATCAGAACTGGTGAATTCAAACTTTTAACTCCCATTGCTTAGCTTAATGTACTTCCTCAATGGACTCATGTACATGAATGACACAATTTACATAAAATGTGCCAATTACCACACTGACACTTTGTCTGAAATTCCTGTCTTTCTTTCCTCTTCATAATAAAATCTCCAGCTAATTGAAGTTGGATCCAAGAAGACTTTCTGGACTCCTCTATCCCACCCCGGTCTCTCCAGTCTCAAAATTTTAACACGTGAACAGCAACTTCTTAATATTCAATACATACTTGTTTCATGAAAGTTTATAACATTTTAATGATTACTGTCAGGACCTTGTGTTTGAATTGGAGAGCATTCTAATCTTGGGTCCACAGTTATGCAACTACATGATCTCTGTGACCCAGGGCAACCAACTGGATATCACTGATGAGCAAAATGCTTGAATTTGAAAAAGCTAAAGTAAACATTCACTGGACTCCCTGGAGTAGGTGCAGAGTATTCACTGATATCCAAGATACCTCTGTGAGTTGGTTATGCAGTCGGAGGCTTTGTCTTTGAACCTATTCTTGGCTCCCTCAAGGAGAGTGTGCTCCACACATGTTTATGCTATTTCAGGGTTCTCACTTTCCTGTGACTGCCTTATTGCACAATCTGTCTCAGTTCAAAAGCACTGGACTCTTGTAAGGATGAATGACCTGCATGTGCGATTGATGTTCTGTTTAGTTCTTCCCACAATTCCCCAGCCATGTGATGTCTCTGCTCTTTGCTTCTACCACCTGCATGTATGAGTTTGTGCTGTTGTGATTCTACCGAGGGCAAACTGCCACAGGTGATCTGAATGAGATGTGCAAAGAGTGGAAAGAGGAATCTCGGTTAACTTCCTTATGGACTGAGAGAAGAGATTTCTTTCCCATTGGTAGCTCTAGAAAAATCATTGTTGTACGCTAAGAGAACAGTCAAAGGGGAAGGCCTAGTTTGACTGCAGCATTGAAATGGTCTTTCGAGTCCGTTGCCACAGAGGTAACTAAGTAATATCAATCAGAATATCAGCAAAGAGCATCACTTGTGAGGAACCACAGCACACCATGCATCTCCAAAGGCCCTCCTCTGTAGCTGTCCACGGTACTGAATCACTCCATTCAGCCTAAAAGACTGAATTGTAAAGTCACAAATTAGAAAAGGAACATACATTGGAGAACTGTCCCTACAGAGAACACTGCTGTTAAGAGAGAAACTCCCTCCGTCCCTGGCCTAACACCATTTTTAGCCCATTAACTTGAATTCTTAGATTCTTCCTCTTTCTCTTCATTTTTCTCTCTCTCTGGATTCATTTCTTTAAGAAAAGAAAGAAAGAAAAACACACACACACACACACACACACACACACAAAGCCTTGATCATGGATAGTATAAACTCTTCCTATTTTTAAGGTTGTCTGGCAACTTGGAAGGAACATTAATTTTATATAATATGTAAAATTATTATATAAATAGCTAAGGAAAAAACACTTGGAAAATACACCAAAATTAATAGAAGGATGACAGGGTTGTAGAATTTTGAGTGACTTTTTTCCTCTTATTTATAATTGTTTTCTTCAAGTTTTCTAAAACTGACATATATTTTAAAATCTGAAAATAAGTTTAAAAGGCAGTAAATATGACTGGATTTTAATTGTGACTATGCTAATCACTAGCTGCATCATTTGAGCAGCTGACATATATTCCTCCAGCTTAATATTCCATACAGGTAATTTGGGGCTAATGCTGATGTGCCCAGTGGGCTGCCTTGAGGACGGAGAGGACACTGGACTCCGTGGAGATCACAGGAGGAAGAGGAGCTCAGGCCTGGGGTGAGTAGGCCAATGAGAGAATGTGCATTGCATCAGGCTCTGACAGGTGAGATGAAAACGTCTTTTCCCAGTAACTTGCTTGGCCTGGAGCACCTACTTCAGCTGGTGTTCTGGTTTCCAGACCCAGCCATGAGCACAGTGTTATCTTGCCTTGTGTCACCTATGTTACAGATTTTCTCTCATGGGCAAATCAAAAGCTATTACCATTCCCCCTTTCCCCTTAACTCACTGCCCCCAAAGACTCGCTGGCTGTGACAGAGATATGCAGAGCTCACATACTAATATATGCCAGTGTCTCTCTAGAGAAGGAACACAAAAAACCATGCTATTTAATAAGCATGCTGTGTAACTGTTTAAAGGAGCTAAGGACGGGAAATACTCAGTCATGGTAAACTTAAGGAGACGAATAAAATCCAAAAGAATAAGAAAAATGCCAAACGTTGTAGAATACAGACTAAACATATTTTTACTACTGAATAATTCACTAAATGAGATTTCCCATTATCACCAACACAGTTAGGAATATGGGTTGGTTGGAAATCTGGAAAGAGAATTGTCCTGTCTTCTTTATATCACAGTAGGAGAGAGTCTTCTTCATCTTAATCGACCCACTTCTTTCCAGAAAGACCAACAAACTACAGGATGTGGGACATTCAGATATTGTTAGTTGAATAATGAGCAATATGAAGAGTTTCACTGTGTTTATTTACTGACACAGAAAATTCTCAGGTGGCATTAGTGATTAAGAATCCACCTGTCAATGCAGGAGACGTAAGAGATGAAAATTCTATTCCTAGGTCAAGAAGAGCCCCTAAAGTAGGAAATGGCACCCCACTCCAGTATTCTTGCCTGGAAAATTCCATGGGCAGAGAAGACTGGCAGGCTATAGCCCGTGAGGCCACAAAGAGGTGTACATGCCTGAGCACGGCAGATTGGATCTCAGAAGATTCATTTTGATACTACACTTGATCTTAGCCAAAAGGCCGAGAAGCGATAGAAAATTCATTTTGAATATTTTTAGTTTTCACGTTCATGCCCTGCTAGGTAGTTATTAATAATATCCCAGGTTAGAAGTAAGTAAATCGAGGCTTGGAAGTTATGAAGTTTCCCCCAAAATAAATAGCTGGCCCCTGTCTGCAGGCAAAATCTGCCACACGGGCACACCTTTTCCTCCCGCTCCTGCTCACCGTGACTGAAACTGCAGCACATCGCCGCGTTATGCTTGTTGGGGCAGAGTTCCAGGGGAAACGGCAAACACTTTATCCACTACCCGCAATGCTCTGTGAACAACTCGTCACTGGGTGTTAGGGAGGAAGTCACTCCGTCCATTCTCCTTTCATGAAAATTGAACACCAGTTAATAGACTGACATGTTTCTACTAAATGTGCCCATCTTTCATGGACTTCACTGATAAATTTCTTTAGGTATGTGGACAAAGCTGATTAGGCTACTAGCAAATCCTCTGTAGCTCTCCTCTTGGTGAGACTCTAAAGATGCCTTTGCTGTGTATTTAGTTCAGCGCATTAGAAGTCAATTTAATGAACTAAACTTGGGATCCTGAGGTTCTCCTTGCTAGCACTGCCAATGTCCAACATGGAGGCTAAGGAGATGCTCAGAAATGCCTCAAAATAAATATCTCCTTTGCTTGGTTTTGGGGATGAGTTCACAATAATCTGCATTCTTATGCTAATTAGTAAAAAACTTATTACTAAAAATAATTATTAAAAGACAAAAAATTATCTGTGATATTTCTAGGCTTTCAGCTTAAGCCTACAAACTGAATTTTGCTATGACTTTCTTTCTTTACTATTTGATCAGAAATGCTCGGCAACCGGTGATAATTATCTTCCACAAGGATACTCTCCACCCCTTCCCCTAACACTGATAAACACCCAATGGGAGGCAGAAGCTCATGCTTACAGAAAGTGGTCTCTCCCTTTTCCACCGCCCTAACGCTTTTCTCCTGGTCTCTTCTCTGCAGGAGCCTCTTGGTTTGCCTCTGCAAATCTGGGAGTTCTGCTCCCTGCCTTCTGCACTTGGCCCGTGCTTCCTTACAAAGCACCTTTGGAGGAGGCTGACCGTCTCTTAGTTGACTACCAAGAAATACAGACCTGCCAGTAGTGAGGCAGGAACGATGCACGCCAACCCACAGCAGGAGGCCTGAGTCCTACACATATAGAAAGGAGGAGGGCGTTCTGTACTAAATTTGCTGGCATTTGGCAAATATAGGGCTCACCCTGCACAGCCTGGACACTTGAAAAAAAAAGACAAAACAGAGTCTCCTTTAATAAGACATGAGGAGGCCCAGAAACTTAGATGCCATGCACATGACCCCTTTTTCCCTCACGAAACAAACAGCAATTAAAATGTATCTTCTCCATTTTCCCCCAGGAACTTAACTTTCATAAGGGTATAATAGATGGTGAGCAAGCCTTATATTGTAATATATGTGCTGTGTGTGTGTTCAAACTTACTCAAGCTAAAGTTTGTTACTTAAATTAACCTGTATCTCTTCCTATCTACCAAAGTTACCTTGTTTAAAGCATTCTATTTATGGCTTAAACATTTAAAAGCATGGATTTCTCTTCTCCAATTTGGATAAGGAAAATATGTCGCTTAGACGGTGACACAGCAACATCTAGCTGATACACTGGGAGGATAACCTGCTACAGAAGGAGTTCCCTGCAGCCCGGCATGGCCAGGGGCGGGGCAAAGCTTGACCTACCCAAGTTGAGGTGCAGGGCGAGCCTCCCTCTCTGGAGCTCCAGGGTGATGTGGTCTCCCCGTTGTCCTTCTCCATGGAAGAGGACCCCATCTCCTTGCATGCTCTTGAACTTCAGGGAAATCACATCTTTGAGAGTACTCATCAGCTTCTGATTGAACCTGTAGAGTAGGGAGCTTCGGCCATCAAAGTCAGCAACGTCCGATTCTAGGCACAAAGAGAGAGAGGAAGGGAAATCAGTGCACATCCTCAGAATATCCCCCCTCTTTCCTGTCTTAGCTTTTGTTCAATTAACTGAAATGTTCCTGACATCTGTAGGTACTGACTAAAGGGGAACCATATAGACCAGACCCGGTGTAGCTAGACTCAGGGATTCATTTGCAAGCAACCATCACACACTCAGAGTGAACTGATCATCAGCCTAGAAGTAAAACCTCTCATTAGTGATAGTCAGCTTTTGCTTGAGGGGACAAGATGCAAATACAAGTCAGGCTCTATTGTGTCAGATGCCTGGTTATAATAGTCTCTCATGATTTATCCTCCTTATTGCTTCTGATAGTTGGAGTCATTTTCTCCCTTCCTCTCCAGTTCAAGGTCAGAGATGAAAAATATAGTTCACAGTTTCAACCCTGACTGAACAGTAGTTTCCCTAGACCTGTGTTGAGAAGGAATCTGAGTTTTTACTTTAGGTTCCTTAGGTTTCCTTTAGGTTTATGGTGTCCAGTAGTCATGTATGGATATGAAAGTTGGACTATAAAGAAAGCTGAGCATTGAAGAATTGATGCTTTTGAACTGTGGTTTTGGAGAAGACTCTTGAGAGTCCCTCGGACTGCAAGGAGAACAACCTAGCCCATCCTAAAGGAAATCAGTCCTGAATATTGATTGAAAGGACTGATGCTGTAGCTGAAACTCCAATACTTTGGCCACCTGATGTGGCCAAAGAAGAACTAATACATTGGAAAAGACCTGATGCTGGAAAACATTGAAGGCAGGAGGAGAAGAAGATGACAGAGGATAAGATCGATGGCATCACTGACTTGATGGACATGGGTCTGAGTAAGCTCTGGGAGGTGGTGATGAACAGGGAAGCCTGGCATGCTGCAGTCCATGGGGTTGCAAAGAGTTGGACACAACTGAGCGACTGAACTGAACTAAACTTAGGTTCACTGGGAAATAATATTCAGTAAAAGCAGATTTACTATTTGAACGGAGAGGGCAAATATCTTGCATCCTTATCATGACTGCCTTATCTTATGCCGATGATATGTATCATTTTAGTTTTCATATAAAAAATGAATATTCATTATTATGAAAGCAAAAAGGGAAGTCCTGGTAATTATGATTGAGATAAGTTTATGAGATAATTTTATTCAGATATGAATAAACATATCTGAAAATTGTATGTCAAAAAGTTAATAGGAATTTTCTTTTCATTTTTTTATTGATGCATAATTGACCTATAACATTATATTTGCTTCAAGTGTACAACACAATGATTAGATATTTATATATATTTCAAAATCAGCACCACAAAAAGTGTATTTAGCATTTGTCACCATACATAGTTACAGAATTTTTTTCTTGTGATGAGAACTTTTAAGAACTACTCTCTAAGCAACTTTCAAATATGAGGAGTCTACCTCACCAAAGAATATATAAAGATGGCAAATAAGCATCTGAAAAGATGCTCCACATCACATGTCACCTGAGAAATGAAAATTAAAATAATGAGGTACTGTTAACTGTACGCCTATTAGAGTGGCCTAACCCTGGAACGCCGACACCACCAAATGCTGAGCAGGAGGATGTGGAGCAATAGGCCGTCTCCTTCATCGAGAGTGGGGACGCAGAGCGGTACAGCCACCCTGGAAGACAGCTGGGCAGTTTATTACAAGACTAATGTACTCTACCTATACCATCTAGCAACCTGACTGTGCTATTTACTCTAAAGAGCTGAAAACTTGTGTCCACACAAACACCTGCACACAGACGTTTACAGCAGCTTCACTTATAATTGCCAAATCTTATAAACAACAAAATACATTTCACCAGGTGAATGGATAACTAAACTGTGGTACATTGAGACAATGGAATATTGCACAGCACTAAAAAGAATTGAACTGTGAAGCCATGAAAAGAAAGAAACAAACAAAATCTTTAAATACATATTACTTAATGGAAAAAATGTCAATCTGAAAATGCTTCTCTATGAGTCCAGCTGCATGACGTTCTAGGAAAAGCAAATCTACGGGACAGGAAAGGACCAGTAGAGGCCTGGGGTTGATCAGGAAAGATGAATCGGCAGAGCACAGAGGATTTCTGGGACAGTGAAAATACTGATACTGAAATGATAAGATGCATGCTATTACATGCTGCTCCAAACTTACGGAATGTCCAATACCAACAAGGAACTGTGGCAGAAGTTGGACCATCAAGAAACTCGGAGAGTTGGAGAAAGCAGGCTCATCACTCCAGTGGGCCCAGAGGAGTTAACACTTCCAGCTCTGAGCCCAGAGCAAAGGAGTCAGAGAGTTTTTATAGACAGTGCGGGACACCAGACTCTAGTGGACAGTGCTGACTGTTAACAGGCTAGTTCAAAGTAGGGGTCTCATGCACATGGAAACAGCAGTGAGGACACAGCAGGGGGATGCCTGACCTTTACACAAACATGGCTAAGCAGGATTGCAAGGGCTGGGTAATTGACAAGGGTGAGTGATGTAAGTTTCAGCTCAGTAGCCCCAGGACCCATCTTCTGCCCCTGTGGCGGGCCGTAGTATTGGATATGCATTCAGGAGGCCATTGTCATCTTTCCAGTCTCCAATCTGCAGAGACCTGAGCCTTTTGGTAGGGCTTCTGTCTTTATAAACTGGGACTCCCCACGATTCACCTTGGTCTACGGGAAGTAGGAAAAGGGAGGGACGCATAGTCTCCAATACCATGCCCCCACCAGTTGGCTGGTGAAGTGGAATACGCGTTAGTCCCACGATTCCAATGTAATCCATGAGGACCAGGCCAGCGTCCTTCCGTGGACAGGTTATCCCGTCAGGCCTTTAAGGCAGGGAAGCGTGCTAGAGGGTGAGGGTTAGGCTCTGTATAGTTGGGCTTTCCCACATGACTTTGCAAGGAGCTAGGTGAGTTACAGACGCAGAATGAGCATGAGGTTGTCTCTAGCTGGGTGAAAGTTTTCAAATGTTCCTCCTCAGAACCATGGTGCAAAATGTGGACTTTGGGTGATTGTTGTTTGTCAGTGCAGGCTCATCAGCTGTGATAAACGCACCACTCTGACGGGGACACGATGCGGGGACTTGAGTTTGGGAGAGCCAGGGGTATGCTGGAAGGCTCTATACCTTCCTCTGTGCTTCGCTTAATTCTGCTGTGAATGCAAACTGCTCTAAAAGTAGCCTTTAAAATAATTGATAGTGATTCTTTGGAGGTGTTGTTATAGGCATTTTTGTATTATTTTTCTATTCTTTCATCATAAAAACTTTTACAAAAAAAATTTTATTACTTTTGTAATAGGAAAATGTTAAGGATATTTAATTACAGTTTAAAACAGATCCATTATATACCATCTTATGTGGGTGGGATGATGGTGAACGGGTGTATGAAGGGGGTAAAATTATTCTTATTTGAAATTAACTACTTGAGAAAACTCAATTTTTTTTTATTATTCACCAAGCAATTAAAATCCTCACCTTGAGAATACACAGTGATAAATTAAGTTTTTTTTTTTTTTTACCAAGGAGCTAGAATTATCCTTTGGAAAGCTGAAGTTTTGAAATGAAAGTAAAAATGAAATCATACTTTTCTGGTAATTCATTTTAAAATACAATTTCATAATTTATTCCTATGGAATAAAGTGGTTCTAACCAAGGTTGCTAATACACCTGAGGCCCAAAAATGAAATAGTCCAGAGACAGAGGGATTTTCACCAATACCAAACTTTCTCAGACCCTCTCCCCCATCACCCCATCAATGAGTCTACCTCTGTCCTCTGAAATCAGTCTTTACCAAAACCAAGTGGAGACTACAGACAGCAAGCTGGTATCAGTCATAGAATAATGAAGATCATAATGTAGATAGGAGCACGGATGTTAAACTGTGATGTCTGTAGCTTAACTGGGTCATGTTGGCAGCTGTATATCTTGAAGACTTGATATCCTCATCTATAAAATGGGGTAATTGCATCCTTCAGGGAAGACTGCTGTGAGCATCAGATGTGCTTATCCATATAAAGTGATAATGCATACAAAGGGATGCCTTCATGTCTGGCATGTTACTTGTGTTAAATCCTTAAGAGGGATTAGGAGCATTAACAGTGTTTCAGATTCATGGAGGACCTCACATTCCTCCCCAGTCTACTCTTGAGGCTGACACCCCACCTTCTCATCTGCAATAATGCTTTTCACTTTCTGATTCAATGGTTTACTGCCCAGGGGACGCAAGCTGGCCCCGTTTCCTGTTTGGCCATCCTTTAAACTCTCCTTGAAACTCTTTGTGTGCAGGTCTGCAGCTGTGTCCTCCTGCTCTATTCTGAAGCCTCCCCCGGGCTCTGCACCAGAGTCTGGATTAGGAACTGGGTCCTTGGGAGTCTAGTGCCGAGTGAGGGACACGGCGCATACACCTGCTGGGCCATGACAGTAATATGGCACATCGTGAGCTAAAACAGAAGGGCACGCCCCCTGCTATGGGAACAGTACGGAGTTCAAACATTGTAGATGACTGTGAGCGTGGGGTGATTTCTGACATGAATAAGATGCAATCTGAGTTACTATTGAAAAGACACTCCTTGATCTAGTCGTCTCAGAGAAATTTGGAAAGTTTTCAAGAAGACATGCTCAAGTGGTTTATTAAGATTCCAGGAACAACCAGAAGGAAGGAGGTACTGCCCTTCCCCACCCCTCACCCTGCTTCCCAGCCTCACACCACGTCTTGTTGCCTGGAGGCCAAAACAGCTTGGGAGGGGGCCCAACAGTGACGGTAGTAATATTACTGAGGGGAGAAGACTCTTCCTTTCTCATGGCACTATCACCTCTTTTCCAATCCATCCCAGCATTCACGATCTGCGATGCAGTCCCTCAGATGTCTAGCTAATCTAGGGACCTCATCAATGCTATAAGTGGTGATGACATAGGTCACTTCTAAGAAAATATATCTTCATGTTGCCATGAGATCTTAAGGAAACTGAAGTGATCAATAAGGCAGGAAAAAAAGAAAATATTGTTGAAGTCTCATAGACCTAGGTTTCAAATCTGGTTTTGCTATTTACTAGCTGGGAGACTTCAGACAACTTTCTTGACTTCTCCAAGCTTCAAGGTCCTATCTTTACAATAGAGCTAAGAGAAACTTGCTCTAAAAGACTCTACAAGAATTACATAAATCATTCCTGGAAATGAAGAGTCACTCAATATTTCACTTCCTAATTCCATCATTAATCCAAAACCATTGGTGCAGTGGTAAAGATCTGAAGCATGATGTGAAGATGGTGTGAAGAGCATGGTATAGAGGAAATCTGAGATTGGAGTTCAGTATGCCTCACATTGCATTGAGCAGACATTCATCCACGCCTTCATCACTGTCCAGATTCTCACAATAGCCTTATAACTGCCCTGCTGGACTCAACCTCTGCGACCTCCCTCTGAGCCATTCTGTCATGTTCCCATCCCCTTTGTAAAGCCCTTCAGTAAACCCCCTTTGCGCAAATTCTACCTGTCTCTGTCCTCCTTTCTCCCTTCATCCAGTACTTCTCTCCACTACCCTCACCCTACTCCAAGTCCGTGTGTGTGTGTGTGTGATATGCATTATATCACATATAGACATTATATCACATTATAGACATATGTGATATGTCTATACTGAAGGACATAGGAACATGTATGGAACACGCACTGTGAGTCCTGTAACACTCTAAAGGTTTTCTGTGCTTAAATTTATTTCATCATATCAATCACCTATTGTAATAGGGAAGAACAAATCGGACTCCCTGTTAGATTTGTTTCTTTTACCTTTGCATTCTAGTGCTTTTAAGAATCTTGCCTATAGCCTGACATATCCAGCATAGCCCATTTTTAAGACTCAGGCCTTTAAGGGTATAACGTCTTTCCATTCATACAGAGATAAAGAGTTGTAGGACAGAGAATAACATTTGTCTTGTTGGAGATTTAAAGGAACATCCTGACCTGACCTACTGGACAGCTGCGAGAACAAAGGATTCTGACAAAGTTTGCAACAACGAACCACACCCTCCCTCACCTCGCCTTTTAAAATGCTTTACTTCCACGTTGCATGGAATTGGGAGGTTTCTGGGCAGAAGCCACCCATCCCCTTGCATGTCCCTCAAATACATCTTTCTGTGCTCCAGACTTCATCACTTCAGTTTGTTTGGCCTCACGGTGCATTAGGCACTTGAGCTTGTGTTCAGTAACACTACGAGGAACACACTATTTTTATCACTGCTCTTTTACAAGTGAGGACACTCTGATACAAGGAGCACGCAGTTAGTAAGTGGCAGAGCTGGGAATCCAACCCACCCAGCGGGACTCAGGCTTACTCTGAGTGCGCTGAGAACCTTCCGAGAGCCGCCCCTCTCCGGCTGACGCTCCGACATGCAGCTCACTAGTCTGGTGCTAAGCCCTTTCCCCAACAGCTTCCTCCCACAAGCTAGTCTCCCTGAGCACACGGCCTCTCTCTTTGATAATTCACCTCCCAGCCAGATTTTGACACTTTTGTTTCCAGATGTGTTTACTATCCAGCTCACCAGCAGGACAGAGGTAAGAGGGTTCAGATGTGTATAGATCACCTCCTTAATTCAGACCCCAGAATTACATGGGAACTGAGTTAGGGACCTACTGCAGTACCTCTGTCTGAGGGCAATGCGGTCAGTTGTCCCCTGACTTCCTCTCCTGGGGCCTGCCCACATCCTACAAGAGCCAGGCTACCCATTCCCACGCAAAGACTTTGTCTCTCTGGAGGCACTCAGGATTCCCGAGTTCCTCACAGATGCTCTTGATGACAAAGATGAGAGGCCCCTGTTAGAGAGCTCAGAAGTGTGACAGGTTTTCTCCTAACACCACTGAAGGCCAGTGAGAGGAACACATCGCCAGTCCCAGGGAACTCAGACCTTTGCAATACCCTGACCCTTTGCAATGTTATTCAAGTCACATGCCAATGCACCAGCCATGTCGCAGATGGAGAAATCGCATTTAAAAAAAAAAAAATGTGTTTAAGAAGGATTAGAGATTCTCCCACTGGAAAGTTAGTAATTCTTCCAGACACAGGAGTGTTAAGCATTCAGATCCCCAAGTTCACTTGGCTACCAGGGATTCAACATACTAACAAAAAGGACCCGTCTTTTTACAGTGTTGCCCTTAAGAAAAGCAATTCTATTATATACTGGACTTTTCTGAATAGATACTATGGTAACCACCTCGCCCTAATATTCCCCTTTGGTATTAATTTGCAGCATGAAGTCTGGTTATGAGGATCTACATCTTCATTCATGTTTTACACATGTCTTGAAGCAAGATGCTCTTTAACAATATGAAAAAAAAAACAACAGGAAAAAAATGAAGAAAGCGTTGAAAGATGCATAAAGGTTAGAGAAGGATCCTACTGGCAGATGAAGAAGTGTGTGACTACCTCAGAGCACAGTTTTAAGAGCACTGAGAAAATAACTGACAGAACTAAATATATCCTCGCATTCTCTATCACAGCTTGTCTAAACCACTCGTACGGATTTCTTCATTTGGATTAAGCAATCCGTTCTCCAGGGGCAAAAGAAACTAATTAGCATATTTTGCCTAATTTAACGTTCTTCTTAACAGCCTTGGAAGGTTCATATTTTTCCCCATTTGTAAAAATGAGACGCCAAAGCTTGGGAAGATTACATACCCTGCCGCAAGGCACACACACAGTAATGAGTTGTCTGACATGGAAGCCCTAAATGGTTCCTCATTAGAAAATGGGAGAAAAGCACTGAAACAAGTACACTATCAAGGGTGAAACAGATCCCCAGCCCAGGTTGGGTGCATGAGACAAGTGCTCGGGCCTGGTGCCCTGGGTGGACCCAGAGGGATCGGGTGGAGAGGGAGGGGGGAGAGGGGATCGGGATGGGGAACACATGGAAATCCATGGCTGATTCATGTCAGTGTATGACAAAAACCACTGCAATATTGTAAAGTAATTAGCCTCCAACTAATAAAAATAAATGAAAAAAAAATAAACAGAAAAAAAAGAAAGACAGAAAATGGGGAGTCAGTGCGAGGATTATGACAAGCAGCACCTCGCGGGCAGGGATGCTGCGCGACTCCGGCCCAGGCCCAGCGGGCGAGCCTGCGGAGTGTCCCTGAGCGCGCGTGAGGGGAAGACGCCCGCTTGAGGAAGGACGGGCGCTCCTTCCCTCCAGGTCGGCGCTGATTTCCTCGCGGCCTCGGCTCTTTTCGCCTGCGCCCCTTCACTCGCAGACCAGGTTCCATCAGGGCAGCCGTTCTTGGCTTTTCAAGGGTAACTACGCAGTGGCCTCCCCACCGCATCACCGCCACTAAGCTCGAGCCGCCTACTCCGGTTGATTCGGGGGGCTCGCTTCGCCCAGGCCTTCTCATTCTGGGGCCTTTACTGCGACCCCTCCACACGCGAGGTCCGCGTTCAGCACAGGTGGATGGCGATGAACTCAGCAGCGGCCCTGGTCTCAGAGCCTTGCTGGACGCAGTGCTGCGCGGTTGCACACTCCCGGGAAGGGGCCAGCACTGGGTGCCGAAGGAGTCTAACGGGGTGACGTCCAACCCTCTCCATGGGAGATGACACTTCCCCTAGTCCCGAGGGATGCACCGAAGTTAGGCAGGCGGAGTGTGTGTGAAGGTCATTGCCAACCGTTTCAGAGGGCCAGACCTCAGATCCACGAGGGTTCCCCCCTGCTGGCCGGCCATCCAGAGCTGTGCCCCCTGCAGCAGTAGTCCTGGTCCCAGGGAGCTGGCCAGAAGTACCGGATTTAGGATATCACTGCAGACTTGTGGAATTACAGCCTCTGGGCTTAGGACCCAGACATTTCCATGTTTTCAAGCCCTCTAGGTGAGTCTGATGCTCACTGAAGTTTGAGACCCTCTGAGCTAAAAGAAAGCTAGGAGAGTAGGGAAGCAAGAGGCTGCGAAGAGAGTCAGGGGTTTTACAATGGAGGATCCTATTAATGATAAAATAATGAGTTTTAATGGGACCCTGAGATCAATGAGAAATAACTGTTAAAGTATTAAAAGTAAGGAGCAGGCATGGCCAGTTGGACTTTTAGAAAGAACGCTCTGGATTTTAGAAAGTCCTTCCATATTACTTATTTGGCCCGTACACATCGAGTCCTAACTGCCTAAACCTCTCCCTCTTGGTGGAATTACCCAATTTCACTGTCTCCTGCCAAGGTGACAAAGCCCTAATGTGGTCTTTTGAATGTTCTTTTTCCCTTTTTTCTTTCCCTTAATACATGATGACCACTCATCAGAGTTCCTTTTTACCTATAATGCCAACCAGAACACAGCTGTTAGATATTTGCTTCCTGCAGTGGACCATTCTCCGTCATCCTGAAAATCGATTTCTAGAATCTCATTAAAATGAATTCGATTTGTGGTTTGAGAAGATGGTCATACACTGGCAGATCTTGCTAGAATATTAAGGTTAGGTCGATTGTGAATCTGAGGAGTCTTTAGGATAAGGGCAGCTCCTCCAGCTCACAAACCTCTCCTTTTAGGTCAAGATAAATCCACATTAACTCCCCTCCATTGCAGCAGTGCTGAGAAATGCCAGTGTCTGGCAGACTTCCCACTGAGACCATAATTGCTGACCGGCTGTCATAGCTTGTTGTCAGAGAAAGGCAGAGTTCTGGAGGCATATTCTGGCACGTTTGATGGATGTTGGTAGCTTGTCAACAAACCAGCTAAAAAAAGGACTCCACTGAATAAGATTCTGAGCTTGAATCCTCAAGTGAGCTGAGAAGGGCTCTCCTGTGGGCTTGTGACATGGAGTCTATTTTCTTACAAGAAGGAAAGCTGGACCTCAAAGTTGACAAGAGAAACCATTGATTCATCCTGAGAAAATCGGTGCCTCTCAGACTCCGGGGCTGTTTGCAGTAACCATGATTTTCAACACAATTACAGTTTGAAGCCTTATCTCATGACATGTTATATAAGAAAAGTGATTATTATTCAGAACATACGCTTGCACTGAATACTCGAGGGCTTTGGTTAGCAATCTACAGACCACAGAGATTGCCACAGCCAACTCACATCTACAGAGAACCTCCACCAACTCTGTGACTTTTCCAGGCCTTATCAGAAGCCCATGATAACCTCAGATGAACTGTGAAAACAGTGTACGTTTCCAAAACTGACTGTGACAATTCCTAAGAATAGCTTTTCTTACAGAATTTCTGATGTGTCTGTGCATGAGAGTAGTTTGGGGAAAAAAAAAAAGAATAGGTCCTAAGAAGACAACATAAAAAAAGTCATAGTACAAAAAACAGCATAGAAACTTTAAGTTCCAATCCTAACTTCAGCGGATAGACTGACAGTCATACTTGCCTGCTTAAAATGCGTTTTGGCTATCTTACACTTGTAGACAGTTCTTGGAATAAGGAAGAACAAATTTGACTCCATATTGGATATTTCTTTTACTTTAAACTTTGCATTCTATATTGTTCTTGCTACAAGCTAATCACTAAAGGAATGTTGCCTATAGCTCAAAGTGTACATATTGGCCCATCTCTGGGAACTCTGCCTCCCACAACTGAGCTTCAACTAAAGTTCCTTTGTTTAAACTCATACTCTGACCAGCCCACCAGTGAGTGGCTGCAGGAGGGAAGAAATTAACACATTCACCCTGGAATATGGCTGGAACCCGACAATATTTGAACAACTTATTACCTTTTTATGATACCTCCTGACCTCCTGCTCTTTGTCATAGATGAAACTAGCACCCAAGCCCGGGCAAGATGATTCTTTGGGGTACCAGTCCCCCATCTTCTGGATCTGCTGGCTTTCTGAATAAAGGCTCTATACTTTGCCCTGTTGCTCATCTCTCAATATATTGGCCTCTGATGCAGAGAGCAGTAAGAGCTTGGACTCAGTTCAGTTCAGTCGCTCAGTCGTGTCCGACTCTTTGCGACCCCATGAATCGCAGCACGCCAGGCCTCCTTGTCCATCACCAACTCCCGGAGTCCACCCAAACTCATCTCCATCAAGTCAGTGATGCCATCCAGCCATCTCATCTTCTGTCGTTCCCTTCTCCTCCTGCCCCCAATCCCTCCCAGCATCAGGGCCTTTTCCAACGAGTCAACTCTTTGCGTGAGATGGCCAAAGTATTGGAGTTTCAGCTTCAGCATCAGTCCTTCCAATGCACACCCAGGACTGATCTCCTTGAGGATGGACTGGTTGGATCTCCGTGCAGTCCAGGGGACTCTCAAGGGTCTTCTCCAACACCACAGCTCTGGACTCAGTAACACTCAGCATACCTAAAATTTGCACTTCCTCTGAGCGCTTCACTAATAATGCTGTGCTTAGTCACTCAGTCGTGTCCGGCTCTTTGTGACCCCATGGACTGTAACCCGCCAGGCTCCTCTGTCGACAGGGATTCTCCTGGCAGGAATACTGGAGAAGGTTGCCACACCCTCCTTGAGGGGATCTTCCCAACCCAGATATCGAACCTAGGTTTTCTGCATTGCAGGTGGATTCTTTACCATCTGAGCCAGCAGGGAAGCCAACTATAAGACTAAACTGAAATAATGTATTTATTTTAGGGAACTTCCAAAGTAATAGAAATACTTCCATTTGTTTATTCTTAAGTACACTGGCAATCACTGGGCGTGTTCTTTATTCTCTTTGGTGTCTGTGCTAAACTGTGAGATGCAAAATCATTGTCACATGAACTGTCCCACTCAGCAATCAGACCCAGTAACACTGACAAGGCCAATGAATTACTCTAGTGGTAGAGGACACAATAAAACGGGAAGCATAATTATAGTCCCTACAAGTTTTTAATAACAAAGAGGGGGAGTGAACAGGGGAACAGATAACAAAACTGAGGTGACCAGCATAGACTAGAATCATATGGAATGGGCTGGGACATGTGGTCACCCCAAGGCAGACAGGTTGACAGAAGGTTTAAGCAGAGTGATAAGGTTCCATACATCCTATTCACAAGTTCACAGAAGGAAGGATCAAAGCAAAGGCTGCTATTGCACAGAGAACCCTTGTGAAAAGAGCATAATTCACTTGTGGGCTGCTTCTGCTGCTTCACATGATCACCAGTGGTTCTCAACCACAACACATAACAGGTAAGAACACATCTGATCCCATACTAGGTTTATTTCTTTTAATCTTTGTATTCTGTTGATTCTGCTCCAAGCTAAAAATGTTGCATATAGCCTGAAATATATAGGATAACCCATTCTCAAGGATCTGACCTTTAATGGTATAATATTTTTTGATTCATATAGAGAAAGAAAGTTACAGGAGCATTATGACCTGACTTAAGTGAACAGCTGCAAGAATAAAGAATTCCTGTGCCAGGAAGTTTGCCACAACTAACCACACCTCTCCCTCATCTTGCCTTTAAAAAGGCTTTACTGAAACCCTTTGGGGAGTTCAGAGATTTTTTTTCTGTGCTTGAGCCTCCATTTCCTTGTGGTCCTGCAATAAAACATTCTCTGCTCCAAACTCGGATTTTTGGGTATTATTTGGTTTCACTGTGCATTGAGCACACCAACTCGGGTTTGGTAACAACACAACTGCAAACTGAAAAAGTGTTCTCATAATGAGACATTTAAATATTAATATCAAATATTAAATGAGACTGTCAAAATTGGAGAGACACATCCCCCCACCTGCAACTAGTCATTTTGTCTAAAATTGAAGATGCATCATGTTTTTATGCTTGGGAAATTAAACACTCTTTGTTAATGATACTATCTGGGCAGAGGCTAAAGAGCTTAGTGCCAGGAGGCCAGAGAGGGAATCACAGTAGATTCCTCCAGCGACCATTTCAACAAGGAGTAAAGGTAAAACAAACTATAGGAAGAAAGACCTTGACATTTGCGTGGGAACCCACTGCTGCACCAAGTGACCGATCTAAGTATTAATATTAATTGAGCGACTTCACTTGCTTTTCTTTCTCTTTTGGCTTAGGGGTGAGTCCCGGCAGGGTTCCCTGAGGCAGGCCACTGTGTATACCTACAATCACAAAAGCAGCAGCTGCAAATGGCAAATAAGAGTTAAAGTCACAGAGGCAGAATCAGTACAGAGTCAAATTTTCCCTTTTAAGTTTTCCTTTACAATCACCAATGCTATCATATGGGTCATGGGACTCAAGTGTGATACAGTCTGTCAAATTACACCCTGAGCAGCAGGACATTAAATCATCAGGAAAATGTTAACGCTCAATTCTCCCTTCCTTTGGGAACCTCACAAAAGATGTGGTGTCCTCAACTTCCACTGCAAGCATTTACTTGTGTGCTTTTTGAAGTTACTAAAAATCCTTGAGTTCCAAAAAGACAGGTTGTGTTACTTACTTCTCTATCTCCAAAGCTAAACAAAGGTGGGGGATACGGAGTAATGTTTATTGTCTG